TTGACTGCTCTAGAGCCTTATATAGCCTACATATTGAAGGTAATCATTTTTTCGGTGACCAGCTCTGCGCTTATTAAGGTTCCAAGTATTCGATCTTCTCCCCGGGAGTCTGTCAAAGGGGAAACAGTGTTTTGAAGTTCGTGGACGATATCTCTTACTAAAAGGCATTGGTACAACTAATAACAATTCGGCGCAGTCTCTAAAACAATATCCACACGAACGGCTCATAAAATACATGTTATTGCTTCTCTGCGTAGCAGCACTCAGGACGAAGCGAATCAAGGCAGTTTCTTCACTTTAAAATACTGTAAACGACTTTATTTTCGTGAGGACCTAATTCTCGCAAAGTTCACGAATCGCCTACAATTCCGAAAAATAGGTCCCGTGAAAAATTCCGGCAAAATGTAAAAACATTAAAATCTATATTGCGATCCCAGCGCGTCGCGAAAATTAGAATTTGCGAATTATTCCAAAACTCCAACTTTGGCCTAAATCGCGAAATATTGAGCCCGCGAAAAATAAATATTTTACAGTAGTTGTTCTACCTTTCCTTTATAGTAGTCGACTATTTAATATGGTAGTTAATGTCACTATATTAAAGTCACTATTCACATCACGTACAATGGTGAGTATACACGTTCAGTGAACTAACATTGTGCTAACAAAACCACGCCAAACGTATCTGTTCACAGCACCTGCTGAAGCTTTCCAGCATCAGCAAATGTCGTGGGTGTAGTTCCCGAGCCCCGTTTGTGATTGGTGTGCAAGGAACTGATCAGGTGTGTTCTTGATAGAAAAAAAGGAAACAATAACAAAAACTGGGCTGATTTATCAGTGCGATGCTGCGCAATTCAGTTGACAAACTAATCAAATGTTCTATTTAGGCGCTTCAGTGTACTTCATATCTGCTTGAAGTGAACTTCTAAAAGGGGAGCTTTTCAATATTTTGGTAGTTTAAGTCAAACTACCAAAGTACTGCAGTCAAAAGGTACTTAGAGTATAACACAACAGTATTTACGATGTTCAGGTATTTTAAGAGTAATCTGCACGAATTTTTGATTGCTCCATTCTTTTAGGGTTGGAGTATATTTTGCATGAATTAAATAAATATTTCAAGGAATATATGTGAAAGGTATTTTGTGCCTATTAATTTAGTATTTACATATTTCAAAACGCATGAAGGGAACTTCAAATGTAGTTGAAGTAAAGGTATTTCAAAATGATTTTTACAAGTATATTTTAGTACTAAGTAATAAAAAAAAAGTTTATATTTTCGGTCTATTTTTCGTGTACTTACAATAATGAACTGTATTTCAAATACACTCAAATTAGAATGTGGTATATTTCAAACGTATTAGTTTTCGCTAAGGGGCTTTACGGGACAAAAGGCCAGATGCCGTCCAGTTCTAGGAACAATTTTAAAACTCCAGTGCCTTCTGATATTTTTACGTGACATTTTTCTTACATTTTCTTGTTACACGGCAAAGAAAGTATGTCGTTTCCTTCCCGTGGTGGAGGCTCGAGGCTTCCAGCTTTCTGGTCAAGTAGAGACAAACACCAGAGCCCTAGCTCAGCCTACAAGCGAACCTAGTGTCGTCTTGGAGAACGACACTCACAATAGTCACCACATCCCCTGATGAGTCTTCCGCGAATTTGTCCTGTTTCTCTTGCTTCTATATATATATTTTTTTGTTTCAAGAACCTCGCGTTTTCGTCGTCTTAGTAGGGTGTGTAGCCCTTGTCAAATCCTGTCTTTCTCTTAACTCTATTTTTCTCCTCGTACTTATGTAGGAATGTTTTATCTATGTGAATTTTTTTTTTCGGTTGTTCAATATTTTTTACCGAGGTCCCGCCTCTAGCTCGCTGATCCACGGCTACAAAATGCGCGAGAGGTCCCAGCAGCGAGCATTCAGCATGTCTCTTCCACTGTCGCCATGGCCCTCCTTGGATCCGATGTTTAAGATGAAAGGCAGCAAGGGAACTGCGAATTTAGAGTTTCAGTGCCTGCTCTGCCTCCCCGAAAGAAAGCTTCTTTCATCTGCGAATTCCACGAATTCGAACCTACGAAAACACGTAAAGGTAAGCGTTTTTTAATTATTATTTTTTTATTTTTTGTGGAAACCAGTTATTTAAAAATTAAGATTTTTGCGTAGTTCATAATTTGGCGATTGCATCACAATTTTATACTCTCAACATTGCCTTTGGTTATTTTTTTTTTTTTTTAGCCCTAGTGTATCTGCTGACGTACGGCGTAAAGTACGCTTAGAACAGTTGATAAAGATGTTGATATTTACTTGAGCTCAGGGGAGCCGCGGCGAGTTGCTGAGGGAGTTCACGCAAATTGCATTTTCGGATATCGGCAGCTCATAATGCTGCTTCTAAGCATACCAGTGTGACAGGAGCGATATGGGTGTGCGATTCGGTAAAATATTTGATTTTCTAAAACGTACCATAATCCGTTTCCACTTTAAGCGTGAGCATAGCAGAAGCTACAAAAGCGAGCCCCGGGCTTTCAGTGTCACTGCCAAGCACGCGCGCTCGTGCAGTGCAATCACGTTGTTCAAAGCCGCGTGCTCGCGCTTGTACAATCGGCTGCTCCTGGACTTAAGCTGAAACGAAGTATAGGGCTTATAATTATAAACAGTTGTGGGCTTAGCAATATACTGTTTGTAAATTAATTTATCGAAAAAACTATGAAAAAAGATTTTGGTGTCGAATATCACTAATTGAATACTTCTTTGTGGGTAAAAACAACCTAGCGCACGGGGAGCTACGAACACAATAAATAAGAACAGTATATTTCATTCTATGCTTCTTGAAGCTTTTCCTTTATAAAGTGAGGATTCGCAGTGTCTACGCACTTAAATCAAAATCGACTCTCGAATTCCAAACAACAATGAGTCGCACAGCCAGCGCTGGGTATCGGTCAATTTATCACTGAATATTTGGGTTTGCGTTCGGAGTCAAATACCGCCGTGAAGGAGATCAATTAAGAAATGTTCAAGGACAGATAGAACTATCACGCCACTACAGTGTTTAACTTCAGCTGTGGGGAAAACAAACATAATTAGTTGAGAGATTCTGACTTGTTATTCCAGTGAGGCTTCTCTTCAATTAATAAAGCACCGATTTAATTCTAGTTCCAACCTAACGTTAACACGGTATTTGCGTCTAATCTGTGACCCGGGCTCTATCGAGATAAATGACGCAACAAATACAACCCATGTGACTTTGTGCTAAACAATCCCAGAGGTTTGTAAAAAAAAACGAGCTAGACAAAGCGTTCTGTATAGTCGATATCCCCGCTAATAAGCATTGTCAACCAAGGCGCGTGATTCTGAAAAACCCTGGCAGCACGAGTCTGTGAAATAATGCCGGGTAGCTTGTTCTAGCTAGGGTCAAAAGAGCAGACTCCCCCGCGCTTTTGACGAACCAGCTGTCACGAGTGACCATTCATTTTGCTGCCGAGTCTAAAGGAAAAGCTGAATTTGGTTTTCATTGTTTGTTTCTTCAGATTAATGCACTCAAACAAAAAGGTGTGGGTTCTGTTGACATTTGAGGATTATTGATGTGACGCTTTAGTAAAACGGGAAAAACAACTTCATTGTCCCTTTATATGTTATCATATCTTCCATTGTCTCAGCATACCTTTCTTCTACGTTCGCGTGTCTTAATGTATAACTAAAGCTGAAGAACATATAGTAGTTGAAGTGAGCTGTGCTCAACCGTTCTTTTGGCAATGTGTTGACTTAACGAAAATTAGAATTCAATGCGATAAAGTATATTTGCTTGAAACTGTAGGGGACTTATTATAATAAGTATGCACGTAACTGAATTCAAAGTTCATCTTATTTAATTTAATTTGCTCTTAAAAATTGTTCAGCTAAATTCGTCCTCAAAATTACGTAACGTTGCTCAAAGACACCATATCTCCGTTTTCACCTCAAGAACCGTAGTAAAAAAAAAAGTCCGGCTCCTCACGGAGCATTACTAATTTCCACCCTTATGCGGGGAATTGAGATATACGTTTGTAAGGCAATTTTATATTACATATATGTTATGTTCTCGAGACGTACTCGTTTCCAACGCCAAAAGCATCACTTCTTCCTCCGACAATCAAATCTCGTAACAACTAATTCGCGCGGCGTATAAACAATGCGCAAAACTTGCTGTTTTCGAAGTGACATTGAGTGTAGTAAGTTCATTCAATGAAGCTACTGACACTGGGCACATATTTTAGTTATTTAGCTTCCGCCATGCAGTTATCCTCCAACTGCGCGATACAGCGCGAACAAGACATTGGTGCTTTTTCGCGTTCAAGATTTTAACTGAAAAACGAGGAAAACCGGCAATCGCTTGTTTGTGGTACAGTGCCGTGCTATCAACAATGTAAGGCTGTGAACCTGTATAAAGAAAAGTTTGGAGAGGTTTGACTCGCGCTGGAGAACTCAGGGATCTTAGCAGGGTTCGGTCCCCCACCACTGTCTGTTTCAACAGCGATGGGCAAAGTATACCGGTGTGTGGCAGAATACCAATTACACCTATACATTTAATTGCCTTATAACCAATTCCTCATTGACAGTAGAGGCCCCAAACGCCATTCGCGGTATTTTTCTCCGCCTCTTATACTTAAACCCAAGAGAATGCAAAAAAAAAAATGTAAAAACGCGGATTACACGCACATTGCCTTCGGGACGGTGTGTGGATATACGTTTCTTATGCCCTGTCACGGGTTGATGTATACACGGCACTCACCAGCTTGCCTGAGTTTTTGCCTTTTCATATTGTTCATCTTATTTTGCTTTATACGCTCATAATTACAGAACGTGAAAATATCGGCTCTTTTACAGACGAAGCACCTGAGCCAGCTGAGCAGTTTTGAAGCACTAATCAAAAATCGACGCACCATCGCAGGAGTTGATCACGTTAGAGAGACTCCGCCGTCCAAGCAGCTGCGACTTGATTTTCGTGATGGGACCGTCTCACAAGCTTCACTGGACAAACTCGTTGTAAACTTCGTCATCGGCGGTATGCAGCGGTTTTCTATCGTCGAAAATCCCTCCTTTGTCGACCTCGTAAGAGCACTTGCCCCCCATAAGACTGTGCTGACGCGTAAAGCGCTGATGTCGCGCATACAAGAAGAGTACATGGAAATGAAGGATCGCTTAAAGCAGGAGCTATCGAATGTCGCCTACGTGTGCATCACTGCCGACTGCTGGACGACTTTCCGCAGGTAAGTCGTACTTGTTTGTTTAGCTTAAAAAGGAATTTTAAACATGTACATTTTATTTTTATTTTTTTTTCATCAGGTGCTACATTGGCATAACTGTTCTGTGGCTTTTGCCACGCACACTGGAGCGAAGGTCAGCAGTTCTGGCATGCCGAAGGCTTGTGGAGCGAGCGACTTATGACATTCTGGCCGCTACAATTTCTGAAGTGCTTGAGGAATACGACCTCCAAACCAAGGTGACAAGGGTCATCACTGACAATGGATCAAATTTTCTCAAAGCATTTCAGTAAGAATCGCGTTGTTGTGTGTTACAAATTCCCTGCAAGAGAGGTGTGATATGGATTTGATACGAGTACAGCTATCATGATTTTGTTTACAGCATCTTCGGGGAGAAGTCATCTGTGGGCGAGGAGGACGAGAAGATTGAAAATAAAGGCGTTGACCTAAGCAAGCTCATAGACAGCACTGAGGAGGGAATTTGTCTACCTCAGCATCACCGCTGCGCTGCTCAATGTCTGAACCTTGTGTCTACCGTAGATGCTTCACGCGCAAGTGAAGACGACGCGTTCTCAAAGGCGTTTACAACCGTGATGAGAAAGTGCAGGTGTCTTTGGGCCAAGCAGGGACAGTCCTCAGTCGCTGCGGAAACGGTGCACAAGGTCTGCGGCGTGTACCTGCCAACTCCAGTAACAACTCGCTGGAACTCGCTGTATGATTCATTAGAATTCCTTCTGACTCTGAGGAGGAACGGAAAAGATCTACCAGCACTCTGCCGCACACCCCATCTTCCACCTCTGAATGACCCGGTGGACTTCAATTTCATCGAGGAATACTGCGAGGTACGTTCCTAAAAATGTCTCTCAACGTGATGGTAACAGAGAAGTAAGCATTAGTTCCGATGCCCTTGCCTTGTCTTATTTTACATCGTTGTTAACGACTGCATCTGTACATATCCAATCACCTGCTTTGCTATTCTTACATTAATTTATTATAGTCCGTTGCAACCCAAGAATGTAGAGCGAGGGTAAGACGGGCGGGGGAGGAGGAAGCTGACGGCACGCTGGAGAAGAGAGGGGGAACTCCTTCTCTCTTTAGCGTTCCGTCTGCTTCCTCCTCCCCGGCCCCTCTTACCCTCGCCCTTCGTTCTTAGGTTGCAACGGACTATAGTCATTCTGACGTCAATCATACAAAATTAAATCGGATGTTTAAAATGCATATGCAACTGGAAGGCACCTACTCCACGTATAAAATATTTTAAGATTATGAAACCTGTCGCCTGTGCCCTGGACGTGCTGCAACGTGACGACCAGATGTTCATGGGGTATCTACTACCGACGCTGTCTGTCCTCCAACGGCGCCTAGAATATGCCATCATGAAGGGCATGCGGATTTGTGCGCCGCTGTGTCAGGCAGTCCTCGAGGGCCTGGGAAAGAGGTAATAGTTAATATTTTTTATAGAAAAAAAATAGCATATTTAGCCTTTACTGCCAACGACTAATCGCGCATTCTATATCAAGGTTCGACCACCTTATGGAGAGTAGGGAGCTGCTACTTGCGTCAGCTGTACTGCCCAAATTCCGGTTAAAATGGATCCAAATGCTGAGAAGCGCCTCCTGGTACATAAGTTGCTGGAGGATGAAGCGTCTCTGCCATGCTACTCCCACCTGCACAACGGAGATCCAGACATCCCAAGCCCAGAACCCGACGATTTTTTTAACTTTGGAGCCCTGGCGAATGCGCACCCGACGAGGAGCACAGAAGTTTCCCGCTTCCTGGACGCCCCCAGCGATATGCCACTGGAGAAGCTAGTGGACTTCCCGAAGATCCATGGGATCTTTTTGAAGTACAACACATCGGTGCCGTCCAGTGCATCAGTGGAGCGGCTCTTCAGCCGCGCCGGTGACGTGTTCTCCCGAAAGAGAGGAAAGATGACCGACCTCAACTTCGAACGGCAACTGCTCTTGATGTGCAATAAAAACTAAGCACAAAACTTGAACGACTTTGTACATTATTTACGGCTAGTTATATTTGTGTACATACAGCTAATAAGCTGCTTTATTACCACATAGAGTGATAATAAGTGAAAAATCGCTTTTTTTGCATGTATGGCTTAAAGTAATTGAAAAGTAATCGAGTAAAGTAACGAAGTAATTAATCGATTACATTTTAAAGCCAGTAATTTGTAACGGTAATCCGTTACTATGATGGCCAAGTAATTGTAATTGTAATTAATTACTTTTTACAAGTAACGGGCACAAGTCTGCCCAGAGACAGCCACTTCAGATGATTGGAGATGTGGATCTTTCTGCCAAGGCCAAGCAAGTTCTTGAGCAAGGCCCGAAGTTTGCTCTACAACCACGGCTGGAACCCGTCGACAAAGTGGTCCTAGTCAGGAGCATCGCTTCCAGAACTCACGACGAAAAAACGGCACATATCATCAGTGAAGGAATCGACTGCCTAGAAAACCAGAAACGTCAGAGAACCCCGACCTCCCCTGGCATAAGCTTTGGAGCCACGATACAGGAGCTACGAAGCAAAGATCTTAGGTTGTGTGTGTCGGATAAAGAAGGTGGCTTTGTCGTCCTGGATTCTGGGTCATATGGTGAGAAAGCCTTAGCTGCTATGAAGAAAAACTTCATCCAAGTTGATGGCAGGAACAGCAGAGAACCAAAACGGACCGTAACACGGACTCTCGAGAGGAATGAGCTTAGCAGCCTGGCCACCAAAGTTAAAACAACGAAAGAAGGTCATCTTGAGGTTTTTTTCTCGGCCAAGACACATAAGGAGGACATCCCTTTTCGTGCCATCATTTCGGAAAGGGGAACCTGGCAGGCGCACATTTCGACCTATTTAGCCAAGCATTTATCTCAATTACATTTCAAAGACCCCTACAAAATTCAGAACTCACAACAACTAATTTCCTTTCTACAGGAAAATGGAAAAAATGTGACCTCTGGCTTTTCTATTGACGTAAAAGACATGTATTATTCAATTCCACACGCAAGCATCATGCCAATTCTACGGGACAGCATTGAGAAGCAAGGAGTGTCACCTTTTCAAAATGCGGCCGGAGTGAACGTTGATTCCTTTTTGGAACTGTTAGGGTGCTACCTGACAGCTACAGTCGTGTCACATGAAGGCCAGGCATATGTACAGAAAAGTGGAGTATGTATTGGATCCCGGGTAGCTCCTCACCTCTGCGATGTATATTTGGCAGCGTGTGGAAGGAACATTGAAAGCAAACTAAAGGATACCAGAATCAAGGCCATCTTCCGATATGTCGATGACTTTTTTATTCTGTGCAACACTGAAGTGAATGAAGAAGAGGATGGGTGCAAAGCAAAAGTTATACAGTGCTTCCAAGAATGTTGCCCCGAATTGGATTTCACGTATGAATTACCCGTTAAAAAATCCATCAGGTTCCTTGACCTGGTGCTTCAGTTTAAAAAAGGCCATGCGTGCTGGAGATATGAGCCGCGCTCGTGCCAAGGGTTTCTTCCATACAACTCGGGGCATTCGAAAATCATCAAAAGGAGTGTTGCCACAACCGCTCTTATTTCCACCTTAAAGAAATCATGCCACCATCAACTTGAACCAAGTTTCGAAACACAGATGAAACGTCTACGTGAGTCTGGTTATCCGGAGTCTCTCCTGGTGACCGTCTCGGAAACCATTTGCCAGAAGTTAAAACGCGAGCATGCAGGGTATGAGGTTTCATCGCAAGCTACAAATCGAAGGAACGTAGCTGTCATACCCTACATCCATGGTCTCACACACAACCTCAAAAAGATTGCCGAGAGGCATGATATTCGGGTTGTGTGCTCGGCACCAAACAAGGCCTACTCCATGTGCCGGAGAACTAATCGCAAAACAAATCAAGAGAAGAAGCAATGCACAATTGCTCACAGGACGCAATACACCCCGTGCCAAAGCGGCGTTGTGTACAACATACCGCTTTCCTGTGGCAGGTGTTACATAGGGCAAACGGGGCGGTGTGTGAATGATCGAGCTATGGAGCACGCGGCTTCTGTTAAAGGAACATCGGCAGGACATCTTTCTGCACATTGCCGGTCCTGCAAGTGCTCTCCTAATTTTAACAACATCACCATTATAGGGCGGCACCGGAACGCATATGCACGTGAACTAATTGAAGCTCTGGCCATCGAAGACAGTGCTCAACTGTGCGTGAGCACCCCGTCTATCACAATCCACCCGAAAGAAAAACAATACTTGGGACGTGGCACGAGCCGCATAACACCCTGATGGGGGCATCGCGCGGACATGGCGGATGGCTGTCATCACTAGCTGTAGTAAAAGGGAAAAAAGGAAGACGAAGTATTAAAGGCAGCAAGTTGATAGTCAGCGGTGTGTATGTATTTTCTCTCACGGTTTTTTCTAATTTGAAATTGTTCAGCTGACCATATTCAAGTATGTACCAACTAGCTCAAGTAAAACCCGTAGTACCATTAGGATTCACACGATTACCAGTGACCTCCGCGCTTCCCCGTTGTTCGGCAGCACCATGAGTTGCAGAGTGAATTTTACTACAGTGTGAAATGCGGAACATTTGGAAGATTTGGGAATTTCTCGCGGGACTCAGGACACGAGCCTTCAATGCGGGACAGTCCCGCGAGTCGCGGGACGGGTGGTCACCCTAAAGCCCATCGAGGGGCTTTAGGTCACCCTACTCCCAGCGGTGGTCCCGCATTCCCTCGCTCACCACTTCTTCTTTTACGCACGGTGGAAGAAACACATTTAGGTGATGAGCCTCTGTCCGACGCGGCGGCCACATTATGTTCGGAGGACTGAGCGCGCTTCACTCGCACGGGGATAATGTAATGTAATGTTTTATTTGCTCAGGAGAGC